TGCTGATAGAAATAATGTGATTTTATATTGTTACCTCTACTTATTAATTCTTTTTTATTTACGTTTTTAACACTGTTTTTTTGTATTTTAATCGTTTCAGCCATGCATTCGTCCCTCTCTCGAAGTGGATGAGGTAATCGAGTGATCACAGTTGGTCTTAAGATAAATGGACTTCAACAAATCAATGCTGCATATTATCGCCACATTATTCTGCTACCAATTCATACACTCAGCTGGAAAAAGACGTTCACTCGCACCTCACAATTGGTTATTACAGTAATCCGCAATAGTGCTCTCCTTTTCCCTTATATACCATTTTACAACTTTCTTGTACGTTGCATCGGAATAAATCAACAAGGTTACTTCTTCACAACTCTTGTAAAAAATAAATAATAAATTGTGAATAAGCAAATGTCTAGATCTCAGAGCGGATGTTGTGTGCTACTCAGCACTTTGTCACTCTTTATGTAAAGTCTGGAATCATATTTTATTTCTATTAAGAGTTCCAATTGATTTTATCCTATTATTTCAAATATATATCATTAGCAGATTAATATTTCAAAAATACAAATGTTCAATTTTTTGCTGAACAAATCGAGCGCAGTGTTGTAGGTGCTACAGTGACACAGAAGCATCAGCCAGTAGGCAGCCGCTACCAGGCGTACCAAACCTGCCAACTCTACAACTTGCAAAGTACAGCAACAAAACTGCCGGGCAGTCAGCGGGCGCCTGTGAGCCAGTGTCTAGGCTGTAGATTGGTGTGGATGGAGTGAGGGGAGGAGTCCCGCGGTGGCCGTGGAGTGCGGCGACCAGGCGTCCGTGTCAAGCGTTGAGTTGGCAGGGTTGTGCCGTCGGAGGATGGCATGTCCCGGGCGGTCAAAGGAGTGGTGTACGGCTCAGCACCGAAAGGGAGCAGGCAAAAAGTACCGCGCGACACAGTGGCCGGATAGCGCCCGTGAGCACCCGCTCTGTGGTGGCCTCTCCGATGCCTTTAGACCTCCAATCGTTTTTGAACTTACTAAACGTCTTCCTAGTCTCAAAAGCTCGGTGACCACCCAGCCATTTACCTTAAAGAAACGACATTAGGATTATGAAGCGTTGTAGTGATTGGTTGAATACTTAGATATTATTTATATGTTAAGATACATGAAAAACTCTGGGCTGAGCCGGGGATCGATCCCGGGGCCTCTCGTACCCTAAGCGAGAATCATACCACTGGACCACTCAGCCTCATGTCAACGATGTCGAAAATGAATCATCGTTATCACTTACGGTTGCAAATGAATTATTGGTATCAGTTCAAGTTATATCGCTTAACATATA